GTTCTCAATAGTCAAAAAATTTAATTTTTCTTTAGTCCCCAGTGAAGGCTAAGAGGGATAACTTCCTCGCTGTGCCGCCTGTCTGACTGCTGAACATAAAATCTGAATTAAGCATTTAATTTGGAGCTAAAGAGTCGTTCTGCTTGGGTCACAACCGGCATAACGATCGAAAACAATGTGTTGAACGATCTCGTCATGTAAATATCCTACAGTGGATGTGCTAACTCATGAAATGTTTACCCAAATTCAGCGTAATATAGGATTAGTAGAGAATGATATGCGAACCCCTGCTGCTGGGAAGGTTCCCGAGACAGCTTGGTCAAGGCCTCTTCTTAGGAGTTCACTCGCTGGAAAGGGACTTTGAGGAACAACGCTTTCTTTTCGGCGGTCAGTGTCGTGGGTTTTGCGGGTAGTTCGACAAGGTTCTTTGGAATGAACCTGCCAGGATACCCGTTTCCGCGAAGCAAGTCCTGAATTTTTTGGAGTTCCTCCTTGATACTATCTGTTAAACAAATTTTTCCAGCTCTTTGTGCCAAACACCTGACTAGATTTCGTTTTTTGTTGGAGAGGTATGAAATTAGCGAAGTTCGTGCATTTTCCAGACCGGGTTTTCTTCCGATAGACGCTCCTTCTGGATGCTACCGTCAGATCTCCTGCTTAGAAGGACATCTAAAAAAGGAAGCGAACCGACCGATTCCATCTCCAACGTGCGCCCTTCCGCTCTTGTCTAGCCTGTATTTTAAAAATTAACTTCTATCAATTTTTTCTTTCACTGTACCCCGTCCCATATAAATGTACTGGCCTGACGAGATGTTATCGAAAGCAACGTTCACTCGGCACTTTGTCTTCTGAAAAGTTATAAATCTGTGGTAATCTTCACTTTTATTGTCACTGCTCCAGTGAGCTCTCTGCCATAACAGGGGAAGACATGGACTCGGACAACACACTACGGCGGACAAATAACGTGTTGGAAAGAGAAAACATAATTAGGTCTCATTTTCGGATACAGTACTAAACAAACCATTAGAAGCGGTTAACTCAAATAGTATCTTTGGAAACCGAGTGTGGAGGGGATAGAGTGGTAACTTTCAGCACTTCTTACTCAGGAGTCAAGGGGGCGTTTTATTCGCAAGTCATAAATGAAGAAATGTTCGAGAACAATTACCCCACGCACGAGCTATCGGCCCAACAGCTCCTATCGATCGAAGGCAACGATAAACTGACATTCCAGACCACCTCTCGGTGTGCGTATGCTTTCATCCACCCCTATGGGGCAGGATATGTCTATCAGGCTAAACGGTATCTCAGAAGAAGAAGAGGAAGAAGAAGAAGAAGAAGAAGAAGAAGAAGCGATCGCTAGAACAAAGGGTTTATTGGCTCGACGTTTTGGATTCCCACTAAAACCAATCATCAGAGATAGTCGTAGATAAGGGTGATGGAGGCATAAGGAGTGCAGTACTTACAGGCCTCACTTGCTATGCGACCACATGCATAATGTAACTGATCAGCTGTCAGCCGCCTTCTTACTTCACTTGGAGTTGGATTTGCAAAAAACCAGAAGCAACTATCATGCAAGAAGTCATGAGGCCAAGGGACCCACCGCCACGACAAGAAACCTCTGGAGTCACTTACCATATCTGGTGTGATTGCGGATAAAGCAACCGTGTTGTAAGGCTGGGAGGTAACTCCTGACGCGAGTGGCCGAACATGCGGCAAAACTGAGGGGGGATGGTGCTAACGCCAAAGTTGCGGCTCATTCGACGAGACCCGACTACACCTTCAAGTTTTAAAAGGCTGAAATTCTTGCAAAAGGCGACGGCCGTGAAAGCCCCGAGCGGCTTGTGTTATGATTCTCCGACCCTCAGTCGATCAAAAAGCGTAGTGACCTCCCGGCTTTGCCTGAACAGAGTTATCAGCCACGCGGGGGGCCGCGACCGAAAATACCAACGACAGCGGGCCAAATTGCTGAGTAATTATCACACGAAGAATCCACAAGAGTGAGTACATTTCAGCAATTAGCGACTCGTGTGGACTAACAAGTCATCAGCACACCAAATACGATGAATGCAGGAGCTTCCAATTTTAGTAGACCTGTGCATACCTGGCAACTGCCACCTATAAACACTGCACTCCTTTTTCCTCCATCACCCTTATCTGCCACTCTCACTGATGATGGCTTCGAGTGAGAATCCGGAGCGTTAGGCCGGTGAACTCCTTGTTCCCACGATCGCATCTTCTTCTTCTGAAGTATTTCCAAAAACTAGTCTCTTCGCATTTACCGGCGTACGGCATCTGCTCGGTGGAAGCGAGCTGTGCCTACCGGTCTGCCTAGTTATGTGCGATGGAAAGCATGCTTCAAGTCATATTTTAGAGCACCTGATTAGCATTAGACGTCAGATGGAGGCCAAGAAACTCCTCTGGATATTTTACCGGCTGTCTAACTGTCGCCAAGAACACTGTGGCAACGCATAATGGAGGCGGCTGAGACTACGACCATACGGGTCGGACGCTTCTTCCTTTGCTCGTGGAGGCAAACTCTGCGTCAAGCACGACACAGTGCAAGCCCATCCAACGTCCCCGTAGTCTATCGATCGTGAGGCAATTCCTTAGTCCTTCCAACTCCACACTCTCACACAGACCCCGCCAAAGACGCGGGGAGTTTTGTTCACCTGCATGTGTTTATCTCTTATGAGCGAATCATGAAGTCAGATAAATTAATTTTTATGTAATTACTTCAGCCTGATGATTAATTAAGGCTAGCGACAGCTCGCTAAATGATGAAAACGCCAAAGGGGGAATTCTGCAAACCTTCGAAAACTAATAAAAACGATTAAGAAGCCAATTACGACAACGATGCCTCATGGCAGATGGAGACAAAAGGGAAAGAGTGAAGAAGAAAACGAATAAAATGCACTAAAGGAGAAGGAGAACAGAGCACACGAGAAGATGTCACTGGCCTAAGTTCCGTTTTGGGAGCTTCTGACTCGACCTGTTGCGTATTTTGACTGGTTAACTAAGTGCAAAAAAGGCATTTTTTCAAACCCCAGAAAAAACTCTAAACTATAACCAAGAATTTCAACAATAGGTCCTTCATGCATGCTGATGCGCAAACACCCAGTGCGGAAGGGTTTTGTGGAACAGAAAAGAGGAAATAAGAAGTTGGTTGAGTTGAAAATTGTAAAGCAATAGGGTCTTGTAACTAAAAAAAGGGGAAGTAAATGTGGGGTACTCGACTGTTCCTACCGACCATAATATAGTTCACGTTGAACGGCAGGACAGTATTTTGTAAACTGCGATGTCGTTTCACTTCGGCAATATAAAATTACTCGGTAGATACATACCGTTCGTGTGCTAAATCATGAAATGTAAGACTACATTCTGAAATGCGGTTTAGTATCCAAAATATTACTTAAGTATGGTTAGAAAATTGATCATCATGCAGCACACTTCTATAATAATTTAGTTACCTTGGGATGCCGACTTTCGAACGAACTTATTGCCGATCTCATGCAAACACCACACTCCGTAAAAATGACTACTTAAGTAGCATACATCATTCTTGAAAACACGCATAAAATATTCATTCCTTTGCTCATTCAGTAAACAATTATGTCTTCGTCCAATTCTATACACGGTTCGGTTCGCTTCGGTTTTCCAAAAGCTTCTAATTGTGTGATTTTTATCTGTGAAATGGCCGTTCATAAAACCTCATGTCGTCGTACTTACCAATGTGGCTTATAAAGTTTACAATATGAATCAAGTCCTTGGCTAAATTTTATGAACCTCATATGGCCTCCTTTTTGTACCGCACAAAAATATATGGTTTTCCGTAGGCGGTAAATATACGGCTCATAGATTGGGAACCAGGAATGCAAATGTAACGGCAGCTCGAGTTCAAAATTATTCGGAATTATAAACGTTTTTAAAAACTAAATTATACCATTCCTTCGAGTATAAAATTTGAAGACGTAATTCTCTAACAAATAAGTAAAAGATTAAATATTTTTATGTGTGTTTTCCATGAAATGTAATTGAATTTCTAAAGACGTCCGAAGTCAATGAAAAATTAATGCTACTTAAGTAGTCAGTTTTTCAAAGTGTTATTTTCGCGTGCGACCGAAAAGACGCTCGTTCAAAAGCCGACATTCTGAGGTAACTGAATTCTTATAGAATTATGCTGAATGATGATTAGTTTTCTAACCCTACTTAAGTAATCTTCTTGAATCGAAAACACATTTCAGAATTTCGGCTAACATTTCATGCGTTGGCACACCTACTGTATATTTTGAAATTGCTCTTATCTCGCGATCAATCCCGCTGCCATATGTAGGGGTAGAAGAACAGTTTAAACAGAACTGTATTTACTTTTAATGTCTTGCTGCGTTCATTTTGTTCTTCCCATCCGTAAAGCCCCTATTACCTCCATTCCCGTATTACAGTGACCTGATACTACTGGTTGCGCGGTGGGGTTACGCAAGCCATCGTTTCCTGAGCTGGCTCCTCCGATTATATTCTATCAGAAATATGGCATCTCTTGGCTTCCTTCCTATAGTGTTAGAGCCTCTAAAAGCTATTATCACACAAATCAAATCGAGAATTCTGCACATAGCTTGTGTTTAGTACAGAGCGTATTAAGATGGAGGTCAGTCATTTTCAGGTTTGTTTAGCTGGCTCTTTAGCATGTTTTCTCGCACTGCTCAAAACTAATTTTGGTGAACAGCAATTTTCAACCAACTGCTTATTGATTAATAGTTGTTATTCTTTGAAACGTTTTGCACCAGAACGAGCTCTGCTTGCCCTTGTAGCTTAGGCCGCGGTAAATTCCCCCCGTTTTTGAGATGAAAGTGCAAGATTCAATCCCTGATTGCTACTTTCCATCCGGTCGGCCTAACGGCGCTTTTCAAACTATCGATTTTTTGGGAAGTCAAGTTCGTAAAGCGTCAACGTACGCAAAGTCAGCAGGACGGGTAAGCAATTAAGCACATCTACACCAAATCAGCATGGCGGACTGTTACCAGCTCACTGCTAATAAAGAAATAGACTGTGCCGACTACTTCATCTTCTGCGGCCATATGTATGCCCTCGTTGGTGACAAACCAATCCTTCGTAACGCCGCTCTCAGCGCGATTTTTACCATGCCCATAGTCGTGACTACCGTCGCCAACACTCTACTGCTCCTGTTGGTTCTGTCGAAAACCAAGACGCAGGGTTGTGTGCACAGGGAGTTCGGTATGACTCTCTACGTCTTCATCATCCTGGGCGTTGTGATGGACAACGTACTGACAACCTTCTTTCTGCGCAGTGTCCCCTGGATTGGTGGACCGGCAATTGAGATAGCTACTCGACTGAACGCTGTCTGCAAGTTCCTCGCCTTTTTGCGCACGTTCTTCAGTGCTGCACGTTCAAATTTAATGCTGGCGCACGTAATGCTGCATGTTTTTACAGTGAAATTGCACTCAGAGCGAGTTAAAGTCACCAGCTCGTCCATTTTCTTGAATCTGGGTTGTATCGCAGTGGCCGGAATGCAGGCAATTCCAACCTGGCTGATTTATGGCAACTGGGCGATCGCTGGACGCTTTGCCTGCCTACCAGACCCCGAGTGGCCATTTAGCCTCGTTGTCTACTATATCATCCACGAGGTGATGTTCTGTGATGGGATCATCCAGAGTCTGGTCACGATACTGGGCAGTATTCGGCTAAGAAAGCTGATGAAACGGCTGGGCATGCTCGTGGACTGTCTCCACTTCAAAACCGATGCCGAGTCGATTCTATTTGAAATCCTATGGACGGTCAAACAACGTATGGCCCGAAAACAGGAGTGCTATCGGATCGTTGCCCTGCACGGCATCCTCTTTTCCTGCGCCAAGATTTGTCAGGCAGCGGTAACTTTGGCGATGGGTATCCAAATTTACGTTTCGCAGACGAATATCCGCAGCGAACGAGGCTGGCGCAACCTCCTTTTCCTCAGTAGTGTTCGTGATCTGTTTATGCTCTGTGAGCTCTGCAGTCATCTAGTAAACACCTGGTGCTGCTATTTCTGGCAGCTCAACTTTCACAACTGCTGTATTGCCTGTGTAGTAAAGATTTTTAGACCATTCAGGCGGATACGGCGATTACTGAACAGTCGAACCTACCAGGATGATGCGCTGCTTGAAACGAAGGAACATAAGAAAAAGCGAAAAAAGCATAGGGGAGACATAGACTATATCTACATTAACTATCTTCAAACTCTGAGCTCCAGGCTGACTGATGAGCGGCTGGATCAGTGCTTGGAATGGCTAGTTGAACAGGAGAGTCTGCCACAGGAATTGAAAGTATTCTTAGACAATATGGGCTACTGAAAAACAAACAGTCAAACTTCGTTGTTAGTATAATTTTGCACTTCTGCGACTACGATGGCCTGTTTTTCTATAAAGTAGGTAAGCTGACAGTTACAAATACTGAATGACGTACCATATTGAGAGCCCAAGAACTAGCGAAGAAGCACTGACATGCGGGTTTCGACGATCTTGCGTTCTCGCGTGACGCAGCTGCGAGAGTTTCGGCTTATCAATGGGCTCCCCGTATGCTGTTTGGCGTATGAAATTCAGTCTCCAAGCTGCCCTTGCTAATTTCCTCTGAAATAAATGCGCAAAATTGAAGTAGATCATTCTGAAGCGGGCCTAAAACGCTTTCTTCCGAAAGATTCACCCCACTTTCGCCCATTACTCTCCGAAGGACCAATACTTCCTTTCGGCAGGAATCCAAACGATTTCCTGCGTCTTCCTGCATTTTGGCGTGAAACCCCAATTACCACCATTCCCGTGTGACTCGATCCTTCACCCTACCATTGTCATAAACTCAAACATAATTTATCTAAAACATGCACAAAATATTCTTTCTTGTGTTTACTTGCTAACGCACTGCCTTTTCTTCAGATCTCATGCTCTAAGAAAGGGTATTTTTCGACTTTTAACAATTTGCTATAATTGAATATTTTAAAACCGTGAAGTATCCATTCGAGTGACATCACATCTATCCGTTTATTAATGTTTCTTATTGAGTATGCAAAATGGCTCGAGTCCGTTGCCAAATGATTTGAGCCCTTCATAATGATATGCAGAAATATGATTCTCCTAACATGGAAAGTGCATAGCTTATAATATGAAAGCCACAAATCCAACCCTAACGGCAGGTCGGGTTCAAAGTTATTTGGCGACTGAAAGCATTTTTCGGCCAAAAAGCCTTTTCTTCAGGTATGACATTTATAGGAGATGTAATCTTCTACCAAATGGGCACAAGAAAGGATATTTTGTGCGTATTTTCTACAAAAACTTAAATTTTTGAGAGTATCGAAAATCGGTGGTTATGCTACTTAAGTAGCCACGTTGTAGCGAGTCTGGTCTTTTCAGTCGGTCGAAGCTCACTCAGAAGCTGACGTCCTGGCGTGACTTTAACATCCTGTGATCATGCTTCATGTTTATCTGTATTGCAATACCCCTATGTAATCCTAATTGAATGGACATTTCATGAGATGGCAGGATTTTCTTCCGACTTTTAACACAGGGATGGGTGCACATAAATTGCGGACCAAACAAGATCTGACTTTTGAAGGCATCAGATAAAAAGACGGAGAACCAAATTATGAAATCACCGAGTACACGGTTACAGAGTTTGGCCAACGTCGGGCCTAGTCTGTGCTCGAAACTCAATATAAGCAGCACTATTATCGAAGGTGTTGTAGTTTGGCAGTCCTGTCTTCCGACCCATTGCAGTGTGTTTCAACATGCCAATAGATCATCCCTGATCAACTGTGCTTGTGGGTGATTGGGTGGTTGCTCTTGCGCCATATTTGTCGCTTTTCCGAACACTTAAGCTTTTAGGTCACCACAATTTTTGCGGCACACAAGAACAACCAAGAAGGCCAGTTGGGTGTTTACTTCCGCCCTTGTCGTAAATTGTATGTCCAGGATGGCAGAGTTTGGGGCATTCTTCGAATGTCACCCGCATACGTGTCCAGAATTTCGGTCTGTGTTGTTGGAAGACCAACAATTCTAAACGTTGCAGGACCGCCACGGCGATAAGTCCCGAAATCGGCGAACGCATTAATGTCTTTCACCTGTTCCGTCACACGCGAAGTACGGTAGGTGTGCTAACTCACGAAATGTCAACCGAAATTATGAAATGCGTTTTCGTTTCGAAGAGTGTAATTAAGAATGGTTGTAAAGCCAAGCATCATGCGGCATAATTCTATAATAATTTAGTCACCTCAGGATGCCGGCTTTCGAACAAACTTCTTTCCGGCTGCATGCAAAAACTACACTCTGAAAAAAATGGCCACTTAAGTATCATGAATTTTTCTCACCCATTTTCGATGCCCTTAAAAATCCAATTATATTCCGTAGACAAATGCATAAAACTATTCATTCTTTTACTCACTCGGTAGAAAATTCGGTGAAAATCGGTTTAAAAAGTTTATAATTGTGGGATTTTTCAATACCGTGAAATGGCCGCGCATAAAACGTCGTCTCTACATTTACTAATGTGGTTTATACAGTTAATAATGTGGCTCAAATCCACTGCTAAATTTTATTAACCCCACGTGGTCTCCTCTTAATACCGTAGAGAAATATATGGTTTTCCGTACACGGAAAATATACGACTTTTGGTTTGGAAACCCTGAATGCAAGTGTGAAGGCAGGTCCGATCCAAAATTATTCGGGAATTGGAAAAGTTTGTGAAAACCAAATTATACCATTCCTTCGAGTATAGGACTAGAAAACGTACTTTCCTACCGAATGAGTAAAATAATGAAAATCGTATGTATGTTTTCTATTAAATATAATTGAATCTTTAAGGGCATCGAAAACCAATGAGAAGATGCATGCTACTTATGTAGGCATTTTTTACGAAATGTGGTTTTTGCATGCGACCGGAAAGACATTCGTTCGAAAGCCGGCATCCTTAGGTGACTAAATTATTAAAGAATTATGTTGCACACTGACTAGTTTTACAACCCTGCTTAATTAATCTTTTCGAAACGAGAACGCGCTTCAGAATTTCGGTTAACATTTCATGAGTCACCAGACTTACTGTACGTCTTGAAACAAAACTACGAGCGTGTCCGAGACGATTATACGCTTCATTGAATTAGTTTTGTAGAAGTAGCTCGATGATCACGATCGTCAGACCCAGGACAATCGAGGGAATTGACGCTAAAAGATACCATAGCCCCATTTGGTAGGAGACTTGCTCCTTTAAGTTTCTCTAGGAATTGTGCAGACGAAGAGACCGTGGTGTCTGACTCAGCAGTCGGGAACCTGAGGCGCCGGAACAGCCGTTATGCCGGTCCGTACGTTGGAGTGCCTTTGAGCGATATGATTGGTCGGAGAGGAGCGGATTATTGGGACAGATAGTCGAGCAACCATCACACCAACTTCCGACACACGTGATGAAATTGCAGCAATTAACGGCGCGAATATCGGTCATCAAACGGTCATCACACCACGTGCAACGATCCCTGATGAAGAGGGGAGCCGTGAATTTTCATAGGTATGCAGTAGCATGACGACTGAATCCTATGAATACTGCAGCCCCTTGTGCATGAACCACCCGTATCTGCTTTTCTCTCTGATTATGTGTTCGAGCAGGGATCCGAAACGTCAGGCGAATAAAGCCCTTGTACCAGCGATCGTGTCTCCTTCTTCGCGATAACAATAATTCAGAATCGCTCTTTCTGGTCGCCTCTGTCTTTACCAACATCGGTTCAGGATTATAGATACCGTCATTTTCATTCAACCTGAAGAGCGGGATAGTGAATGGTCTTTACAAAAAAACGCGAGTAAACCGCATCCTTCAGTTTGGAAGACGGTAACGAAGTAGAGGATTCGCTCCCTGTTCTGGTTTAGATGCGTGCGATATAGAAATAGTTCTCACGGATGGAAGCGAATATGCGAATCCCAGGTTCTTGTTGTAAAGAAGATGAACACACGATCTCTGGGACAGAAGGTGTATTAGTCTGAGCTTTCGGTCTCGTACAGGAAGCCAGCGTCAGACACTGTGAGAATGCGACATCAAATGAGCAGTTTTGTAGTCGAACCATGAGGGGGGGGGGGCTATGAGTGCAGAGGGTGATATTCGCGATAAGCTGAGTCCCACGCCGTCTCACGGTGGCGTGACTGCGTGCACCCTTGGCTGGTAATTGGGTCTCGCCTCTTGGCCGCGGGAACGGAGCGCGTGATAGCAGGGGGGTATGTCAACGTGCCTGTTGATAGAGTTGGTGTCAGACACCCAGGCCTCCAACAGTTCTCGCCCTGTCTTATTGTTGGTCCGCACTACTATCCGCGTGCTCACGAAGTTGAATTCGTGGCCTTCCTCCAGGTGTGATTGGCGACCTGAGACAACGGGTCGCCTCTCCGGACCGCCCGTTTGTGCTCCGTTATTCGTGAGCCAAGTCGTCGTCCGGTCTGTCCTGTGTAGTGGTGAGGGCAGTCTCGACATGGGATCTCATAAACGACACCCGATTGTTCTCCCACGTCTAGGCGATCCTTCACTCGCATGATTTTGTTGCGCATGGTCGCTGTCGGACGGTGAGCGATACCCACGTCGAGCTCTCCAGCGATACGTTCCATCGCTTTGGGCACGTTCTTTATATATGGTAGAGGGTGCCGGAGTGTTGGTGGCTCTCCTCCGTTTGTTCGCCGTGGGTGCGTGCGGAGGCAGCGGCGGCTGATGAAGCTGTTCAGATATCTATTCCTTGCCAGTTGGTCCCGAAGATGCCGAAGTTCTCGTACTCGTCCATCTGGCTCACTGCATTGCGTTTTTACCCTTTGGAAGAGTGTCTTAACACAGTTGCGTTTATGCGCCATTGGGTGGTTACTGTGGTAGTTGCGAATCTGAGTCGTGCTAGTCGCCTTTCTGTACACCGTGGTGTTTAATTCGCCGTTGGGTGTGCGTGTGACGAGAACTTCGAGGAAAGGCAACTGTTCGGCATGCTCCTCTTCTCTTGTGAACTGAATGTCCCGGAAGATGCCGTTCAGCAGGTCTTGAAAGTTGGCCAGTCTGCTCCTTTCAATTATAACGAACGTGTCGTCCGCGTACCGGGGCCAAAATGCAGGTTCATAGTGGTCGAGGGCGACTTTTTCCAGCTCCTACAGGACTAGTTCTGCAACCAGGCTGGATATTGGCGAACCCATCGGCATTCCTTTGATCTGCTCGTATGTTTTGTCATTGAAGGTGAAGAAGGTTTGTTGGCAGAAAGCAAACAGTTGCAGTAAGTGGTCGATTTTTAGGGGTCTGTTCGTTTCGTCGTAGTTCTCTTCGAGTCGTTTGCGGAGAATGTTGCGTGCCAGGTCCGGTGGGATGGGCGTGAATAATGAAACCACGTCAAAGAACACCATAATCTGATCCGGTTGGACAACTTCTGACTATGGCCTCCTGTACGAGACCGAAAGCTCAGACTAATGTACCTACTGTCCCAGAGATCGTGTGTTCATCTTCTTTACAAAAATTGTCTGTTTTGAGCAAGGGTAGGATCTGTTCTATGCCTAGTGCATGATTTTAACTTACAGCAAGATTTTTACAAAACCGCAAACAGGAAGGACTTGGCTCTTTCTGAAACTAAAAAACTGACAATTTTATTTCGCAGTTCTTTAGGCAACAGCAAAGTTTCCCTTTTGCTTGCACAAGCGCACGCGCGTTGGTAAAAGTTGCAACTCCCCGTCCTACTGCAGGCACGCTTTGTCAGTTGTCAGGGCTATGAGGAGATGTTGTCCTTTTTCCTTTCCTCAGAAAGCGTGCCAAGACAGAATACCACGATCTCGGAAGCCCCCCACTCAATCTTTGTTGGCGCGAAAAGTCCTTGCAATAAATTAAATAGCTTTTGTTTTGACAGTGACGCGAGGACGAGAAAGACAAGAGCAGTTTCCTGCCTGTCAGAGACTGCGTCGACCAGATGTTGCCCATGAGAGGAGGCAATCCTAGTTCGAAGACATTGTTTTCGCCCCAAGACAGGTATTTATTCGCTTGATATCGTCATAACTTCAGATCCAGTCGGCAGAAGCGTACCCAATGGCAAGCCCCCTAGACACAGGAATTCGACCAGAGCATGAACAAATCCGCGAACAAGAGCATGTGGTTAAGGGAGTCCGCGCTTCGCCGTGGACGTTGACCTCCGACAAGGTCACGTTCTCGCGCCAGTTATCGTCGATTACAATCAGCGACCTACCTCATAAAATGTTAGCTGTAATTCTGAAAGGCGTGTTCGAAGGGGAAGGATTACCTAGGTAGGGATGTTGTACTGATTATCATGCGGCATAATCCCATAACATTTCAGACTTTGGCTTTTGGATGCGCCCCTTATCGATCTCCTGTAAAGACCGCAACTGGTTAAAAATAGCCACTTAAGTAGTGTGCATTTTTCATATTAATTTGCGCAAAACTTATAAATTCACATATACTTCGTAGAAAGCATGCACAAATGCACTCTTTTTTAAACATATTTGGTAACAAATTGCGTTTTCTCCTAATTTTATGCTCGAAGAAAGAGCATCTTTCGGTTTCAAAAGTTTCGAATAACAAGATCTCTTATGACCGTGCAATGTCCGCTCATACAGCACCTGTCCGTTTAATAATGCTCCCCATGGGGTATGCAACATAGACCGCATCAATGGTAAAATTTAATGAGCTGTACATGGTACTTTTTCGAAAGCATAGAGGAAAATCCGATTTTTCTTACGTGGGAAACATCACATTCTAGGTTTAAATCACTAAATATTGACGAAACAGCTGATCGGAAAACTTTTTAAACACCTAAATATGCTCTTTCATCGTGTATAAAATTTGAACACAGCGTGATCTACTGCCAAATCAGTAAGAGAGATCATATTATTGCGCATGTTATTCGCAAAGTATATATGAATTTGTAAGGGTGGCGAAGACCTGTGTAAAATTCATACTACTTAAGTAGTCATTTTTTTAACCGAGGGCGGTCTTTACAGGAGACCGATAAGAGGTTCATTCAAATGCCAACATCCTGGCCAGTCTGAGATATCATGGGATTATGCCACGTGACAATTAATACCACACCCCCACCTAAGTAATCCTTCCTCATAGAAAACGCATTTCAGAACCCCAACTAACATTTCATGATGTCGGTCTCTGACTGTGTGGTAGATTCGGTTCTGTCCAAGCAAGTCTGCGTCTACTAGGACGCCCACGTAAAGCAGTAGTTTCGAGTCGCCCACACTAATTATCCCAACATCGTCCCGTCCGGAAATTCCCTAAGGGAACTGCAATCAACTCTTAACGACGCAGCTGCCGTATCTTCAAACATGGTCTCAAGGTGAAAACTAGAAAACCCGGAGTGCTGCTCGATCGCTACAAAGACTGGACAGTGACATCTTCTGCCCCCCCCCTCTACCTTAACGACGGAGAGGTTTAACATTTCGCTTACCCTGGACATATCCTTTCTGTCAATTTCGTCCCGAGGTCTGTCAGAAAAAAGTATTCGTGTATGAGCCCACTGTAAAGTGTGTGCCCTCTACGGTCACAGCAGTCGATCTACCCTACGTCAGGAACGCGCAGACACAGAGCTTCTCGACAACTAGTAGTTTCGGAGAATATTTTGCCTCCTGTTCGCGGAGTACTTCTTGACGGCGTGTTTTAACAGTCTCTAACCATGTATTGTCTGGCACTGCCACAGTTTCCAGAGTCCATCGCATCACGAATCAGTGTGACCCACAGTCGTCAGTCTAGGCCATAAGCAATTATTGTTCAGCTGACTTTGCATTCTCGAGAACCGTCGAGCCCGACATCTCTTCCACATTTGATTTAGCCAGATCTGTCCACTTCTTACTTGGCCACAAAGTGCAACTCGGACAGAGACCCGATGACATGATCACAACTGAGCCTCACTCAGAGTCGACAGACGCCGCGACGACAAGGTCAACTGAACAATCGCTGCCCATGGCCCAACCGACGATCGTAGGACATGGACCACACTGGTTCATGATGCGATGGATTCAGGAATCGATGACAGCCTAACTTGGTCAACATCATAGCTTTGTACAGAACAAAGTCCCTAGGAAATGTCTCTTCTTCGACTCCTAAATGAAACTTTGTCCTGAGACTGTGACAACCAGGGCACACCCGCTAGCTTGACTCCTAAGAGCCTAAGGCCTGGAAAGGATTACTTAATACACGGAAGCATTATTTATGTCCATGTAGCTTCTTCAGGGCGTTCCACTTCAAATTTTCATCGTAAAACAAAAAATAACATCCTCTTCCCAGAACGCAGACAAGTAAACGCAATGGACAAACAGCAAACAGATCGGCGTAACATATCGGTAACTGGTTATAAGAGATAAAAGTGGGGTTTATTCTTCAAAAGGCAATAAACAAAATAAAACACAAAACAAGTGCAAATGCATCGGTTCCCACACATGCGCAGCATTCTAGATGATGCCTGGTACTTCACTGCACAACATTTCGTCAGGGATAATTAGACCACCCGAGTCTTCATATTCGAAACCTAAGAGAAAACAAGATCGAGATGGCTTGACGCATTTCATAAAACGAAATCAAACAGAAAACGTGAAGGAACCACTGTTGGGAGATAGGCCCCAACTATATCATCAAGAACGTGAAGAAAACCTTCGACAGACCAAAACCGGAACCCAACAATCTCCACGGTACATTTCGTTATATTTCATTTCCTTGGGCATATCGATGACTAAATCAATAAGTGTTTCCGCTTATCGGAGAAACGGTAACCAAAGAAGCTGAGACAACTTGAAAACAATTGGGCCGTTTTCTAGTTTTATTGTATCCGTTGGCTAGATCAGGCATGATCGCAGCCGTATCAAGTACAGTAAGTTGGATAACGTCAGTATTGAGCTCCTCTGAGTTAAAGTGACGTGACAGCCTCAGTCAATGGTTACAAGTACCTCCCGTCGTTGCTCGTTATTCAACGAAAACCTTTGTGTAAGTTTAAGAGGACATGTCTGAATAGCAAACAATTATCACAGAATGATGGGAACAGAAGAAGATTGATGCCCTTCGAACGGACTACACATAAAACAAACTGCTACCACAGGGAAGGTGGAGGCGCAGAAATTACACTTACTGAGAGGCATACTAATTCCACTATAAAGGACGTAAGGATGGCAATCACAAATTCCAAATAGGAATCAACAAAAACTGGGGACGAATAATCAGAAGATATAATGACGTACTGTTTTGGAAGTCATTTGAAGGTCGGCAGTTGCTACTCATGTGTTGCACGGAAAGCTCGCTAACACGGTCAAATAGGTCATCAACGGCATCACATAGGATAAAAGCACTGCTGAAATCTATGGTGCAGGTGGCGTTATGGAAGCCGAAACTACCTTCGCCCATAGGAGGAATGCAGACTTCGACATCAAAATCACGCGGATTAGACTTAACAATAACTGTTTTAGAGGGTAAGTATTCTTTGGTTGACAAACTGTCAACATTTGGATCCGAAACCTGCAGCCCACGTTTTTTGAGCCCTTGTTTCATATCCAAGTTATTTTTTAAAGGCACAAAAGCGCGATTGTTCTCATCATTCCGGGTCTCCGACAGCATTGTCCACTCGGATCCCGACGTTCCTCCGAAATATTGATTTGTTCAATGGGAGATTTCCGTCAGTAGGCTTCACACACACAGGAGGTGAAACGACGTCAGCCAAGAATGAGGAGATGCAACTGAAACACTATGAGCATAGTGCTGCAATGACGCAATAAAACAAAGCGTTTTGGAAATGAACTGGATGCGTAAATACACTTAAAACATATCCCCAAAGTGAATTGCCAGGATCTAACTAAGCATGGGATTTTGACGTGTTGTGTCTGTTTGTGATAACAAATTAGTCAACTTGTGGAGGCGGAAGTTCGAGATCCAGGTGAATGTACAAGTGAAGAAGGCTGTTGAGCACCGGGAAAGTCTGTTCATTGTTCTAGACTTTCATACTCCTGCAGAAGTCCATCGTCGAAGACAGCAGCCACAATAGAACAAGTGACAATTATAGGGCACGCTAGTTACCAAGATATCACCCACGGTGGAAACTAAACCGGCGGATAATTGATTGAAGCCTGGACCTCACGTGTGAACTCATTCAGTCGATAAATTTGTCCGGTGTCGACGTACAGAGCCTTGCGCAGTCACCTCCAACCTGGCACCACCGATGGAGGATTGACTAGTATGCCCTATAGTTGCCGTTGTTCTCTCTTTTGCTACTATCTCTGACGATGGACTCCTGCAGGAGTCAAAAGCTGAGAAAAATAAACAGATTGCTTAGGTGCTCGACCAGCCTTTTTCTTCATTCTTAGTTAACTTGGGATCTTTGTGAAAAACGAAGGAGTTCTTTCAAAACGAGTATTTCTCATTTACTCTAATCGGCATCATATAAATGTTTTAACCACGACCATAGTAAATTCTTATTACACTAAATATGTGCGGTTTGTCATGACAACTACCGGTCTAGTCGAACCGCGATGACTGAGTTCACGTTGGCCGCCCCGGCTCTTCAACTACCTGTGCAATTAATTCTGTCCGTTGTCTGTCAACGACTCGAGGAGTGATCCTGTTTTTCATACAATTGATATATGATTATAAATCCAGAATTTGTTGTCAGCTAATTATACTTATACTGGTTTAGAGCAATTAATTATCATGGGGGCTAAGAGGCGGACTAAGCATTCAGATAACTAAAAAGAAAAACCTACAAAGAGACGCTGGTTCAAACCGAAAGGCCAGGTTATATTAAGGATCTACTGCAATCCGAATTCCATACTTTAGCGATTATTCCGGCACGGTCTCGGGACCGCAAAACTATGAAGAATTTATCATTATCAAAACAAAACAGATTTCTAAAGCTTTGATTCCTGCGGTCCTTGTAGAGTGCCTCGTGATCTTTTGTCTGCACAAATCCCTCTTCGGATAGTTTTCCGTCATTAAATCAGACCCAAAAGTCATATTTAAGCCGTTATCCAAGGCTGCACACCCAAATGTCATACCTTATAGATGATGGATGGCATTGACTTTTTCTAAACGCTACGACATTGGGTGTGAC